TTAAAAAAAATTTTTTTTTTTTTTTTTTTTTTTTCAGATCTACGTATCTCGTGAAACTTTTAGATATTTCAACAAACCTGTTCTATCCGTGCAATTATTATGTTTACTAAAATTTTGATTTAACAAAAAATTAACTAATTTTTCTCTCGATTTTTTCCTGTTTTTCTCTACGCCAATAATAGCATAGATCACGAGAGCAGTAAAATCGCGGAAGGGATCACAGTATGTGTCACCCACTCACTTTCTCTGCCTTCGGCACCTATTTGCGCATGTCCCGCATTTCCCTGTTACCGTTGAGAAAACATTGTTGTTCCTTGCGTGAAGATAAATTTTATAAGAAATTTGGCAAAATGTGTGTCGGAGCGTGTCGGACACGCTTTGGTATCACCTCTCAGAATATTTTTATCTCGCTCAATCCAGTAGAATTTATTAGCACACGCAAGTATTTGTTAGCAAGAAGCTATATAGCGTCCCGAGATGTTTATTATAGCACTATATTTCCGTCGCATTTGTCAGGTCGGAAATAGAACGGTGGAATCTATTTGTCGCTACGTTTAAGAAACATACACCTGTGCTGTGTGACAACAGTTTCCAAAATTGTAAAACTTTTTGTCGCTTTGAAAAACAACACGACATCATAAAAATTGCACAGTTATTCTTTATTCTTTATAATGCTTCTTTAATCGATCTATCAGAAAAACGAACATTTTCAACATAAACTTTCACGTGGCTCGTTTGCCTGATACAATTTAGCCGCTGAAAACTCGGCAGACGTGCTTCACTGGTAATTACGATGAGTTGCACCGCACTTAAAGCTGTTTCGTCAGACATTCTAAACGGGGCTCGCAAATAGCAGGCGGTATACTAATGCTTCCGCGGCAAATTGTATGGAAAAAAGACGTGCGGCTGAAGGTAGAAAAACTTATTGCAGCCTGCAACAACTCTATTAAATTTAACCCAATGTAAATCGCCCACTGTTTCTACTTAATTATATCGTTAATTTATATACAATAGTTATAGTTAACACTATACAGTGTCAAACTGACACGAATAAAAAATTTAACTATCGTAAAAATTTTTAGTATAAAATAACGATATGTTTAGTGGTGCCTTAAATTACGTTAAATTTGACGCTATAGATTTAACAGTGAACGACGTTAACAGTATAAATTCATCGAGCCTGGTTTGCAAAGTCACTGATTTTTTCGATTCTTATTTCGTTCCAAATCTAATGAAAATATTATTTATACTAGAAGAAATAAATAAATACTATCGTATTGGTATATTATGGGGAGGTTTGTGTCCGTTAAAGCTGATGGTGCTGATTGTCATATCAGCTTCTTCTTCTTTTAAAGATTTTTGTAAAGAAAAAGAAGTCAGTATGCCGATCGGTACCAATTGGCTTTTTTTTCTCTCTCTCTCTCTCTCTCTCTCTCTCTCTCTCTGTCGCAGTGCAGATAATCTTTTAAATTTACAAAAGAAGATAAGTCATGCATCTTAGCACACATGTAGCATACTTTCTGTTTAAAATACAAGACATATGAATTTCTTGCTTGCATTATCATTTCTCTTGTGGAATGCTAGATTTGGTTGAGCAGTGTTCGATAAGGTGTATCGCTTAATGGTAGCTTATCAATTACGTACGTTGATAGACACGCATCCTCGGATGATCACAATGCGCGTTATTATGCTCGCGGCTGCTATCGTATCATTTTCTGCCTTTTTTTCCTTACAACGTATTGCAAAAGACAAACGTGTGCTCCACTTTTCTATACGCGGAAAAAGCGATCAGCGAATCTCACGCGATATTTGAAATATCTGCAGTAAATCATTACGAACATTATAATTTCTTTTTACGTTGACAGTACGGACGAAGATGTTACATTTTTCTCACTTGACTCTAAAAAATCTAGACGGAATATATATAAATAATTAGTTGTGCAAATATATGTACATGTGCATATAAAAATACACAGATCTGTATATAAAGTACTAAATGTAAAATTATGAATATTACGATTAAATAATTTTCTTGTAAATATATCGTTGCAATATGCAGATTTACTTGAGTGGTTCTCGAAATGAGACGCAACTTTCAGCACACGAAAAGATAATCCTGCGGTGAGATATCACAACATCCGTGCCAGATATGTGTCAGCAGAATGACGGAAACGTGCTGCGACTTATCGAGAGAAGCCACGCCGTTTACATTCGCTCATAAAATATTCTCTCTCTTTCTCTCATTTCTTTCTCAATAAAGACTCATAATAGAAGGAGTTAAGAAGCTAATATCGTCCCGAGTGAGAGAAT